GGTACATACTAAAATTCTCAGGGGTGAAAGCTCGTGAGTTGAATTTGTTTCCTTAAACATCAAGTGTAGCAAAGCTTTTGTGATTCATTTTGGAATGGGGGGGGCCTCTGGGACTTATTCCCCTTGTATATTTGAAGTTTTCCACAATCTTGGAAAAGTGGCAGGTAGATGTGAGAGATGGCCTCGACTGGGACTGAAATAACCTATGGCTGGAGGGTGCTGCGGGCAGACGCTGGAGGCTGCGGTGAACTTAGAAATGGTCTAGGCTAGGTGCGCTCACTTCCCTGAGGGAGGCTGAGGCAGGAGGATCATTGACAGTTTGAGGCCAGCATGGGCTACAAAGTGAGCTCAAGGCCAGCCTGAACTGCATAGTGAGACCCTGTCTCATAAAGACAAAAAAAGAAAAAAAAAGAAATGATCTTCCCGGCATCTGCCATGGCCTTTTATCTGATTGCCACGCGCTGTGGTGTTCAGTTCCCCTCTCCCGCTTAGAGTCTATGAAAACCCTTCTGAGCGATCAACGCAAACAGATGCTCCAGAAATACAAGGAGGAGAAGCAGCTCCAAAAGCTGAAGGAGCAGCGGGAGAAAGCCAAGCGCGGGGTCTTCAAAGTGGGCCACTTCACCCCGGATGCCCCCTCCTTCCTGTCATCTTCGGGGCGCGGCATCAGGAAGCCAGAGGCAAAACACGTGAGTGTGTGCCTTTCACTCGGGGCAGAGGAAGAAGGTCGCCACCATCTGGAATTGTCCTTCAGAGGCCTCATGATTGAAATCAGCCTTTAGTCCTTTAGTCATATAACTATTTCATAAGAAGTAGAAATGACATAGTAGCTCAGAACAATGTCAGGGTTGGCTTTTGTTTTGTTTTGTTTTTTTGTGGGTTTACAAATTGAACTAGGACTTCACACATGCTAGATAAGTTCTCTACCACTGAGCTACATCTCCAGCAGATAGATAGATAGATAGATAGATAGATAGATAGATAGGATCCATATAGGTTCCCCGGGTTGGCTTTCAGTTTGAGACCCTCCTGCCTCAGCCTCCGGGTTGGGCATGCACCACCATGCTAGCCAGGTTTCTTGATATATGTATACATTGAGATAGGATAACTCTTGGAATACAGAACCAGGCTGAGTCACTGTGCTGAAGGGCCTGGTATTTATCCTGCAGGTTGGAGAGAGCAGGGCAGGCTTATAAATGAGATACAGCCACCATCAAGTTAACTGCAGACCAGTTGTGACAGGAAAGCCTCTGTAGGGAAGGCTTGTGACGGCCCTTCTAAGGGAATGGGTGAGCTGAGTGGGCCTGAGCAGTGCATTTGGAAGCGGCCAGGGTGAGACATCACAAGAGACCAGTGATCACGGAGGCGGCACGGGTGAAGTCCCTGCGGTGCCAGCGATGTGCTATCCTGGGACTGTTAGTCTGAGCAGCCATCTAAGCAGAGTTCAAGAAAAAAAACAAACACTGTAATCAGGGAATGTTCAGGACTCTTTGAGAAATTTATTTTTTAAAAAAGTAAGTTTTAGGCCAGGCATGGTGGTACACAACTGCGATCCCAGCACTCAGGAGGCTGAGGCAGGAGGGTCTCTATGAGTTCAAGGCCAGCCTGGAGTGCATAGCAAGACTTGTCTATATAAGGATTTTTTTTTTTTTTTTTTTCTCCGAATTCCTTCAGGGCAGGTTTGGCTGGCTGGAGTGTTGTGGGGATCGAACTACAGCAACCTGAGGCTGACAGCTTTGTGGAAGCAGCCACTTAAAGGACTGAGCTAGGGCCAGGCCCCCTAAGACTTGTCTGGAAATGGGGGAGGGGGGCTTCTAGGCAAGTGCAGGACCAGGGTTGCATCCCAGGTACCACATGCTGTGCGCCTTCCCTACCCCCAGGTGCACTGAGTTGGCCACTGAGTCCGGGCATGGTGGTGCACACCCTTAACCCCAGCTCTGGGGAGGCTGAAAACGGGAGGATCACTAGGAGTCTGAGCTGCATACTGAGACCCTACACCAAATACATTTAAAAAATAAAAAACTCCGGGGGGTGGCGCATCATGGGAAGGCACATTTGGGGATCAGGGTGGACAGGCTACTGGGCAGAACCCAGGGTGTGATGCTGGGCGTATGGCAGGGACGAAGGCCACAGGACAGTTCAAGCCCTGGCAGCAGGGTGTCCCTGCTCTGAGGAGGTGGAGAGGCTGCAGATATCCCAGAGCGGCACTTAACACCTCATCTTAAAGAGCTGTTTAAAAGATCTCATTGCACGGGCAGTCCTGGTTAAAGTGAGAATTGAATAACACAGAGCTGGGCGTGGTGGCACGCCCCGGTTACCCCAGCACTCAGGAGGCTGAGGCAGGAAGATGACCATGCGTTCAAGGTCACGCCAGACTATGTAGTAAGACCCTCATCTCTAAAATTTTTTTTAGGGGCCAGGGAGATGGCTCAGTAGAATAAGCGCTTGCCTGGCAAGCTCAAGGGCCTGAGTTCAATCCCCGGGTCTGAAAAAAAAAATGTTAATAATACAAAGGCCCAAGGTATTGCTTGCTTTTCTGGGCTTCATGAATGCCATTAATTTACTTAGCAGCTCTCTCATTGTGTATTTGGAATGCAGCTTGACATTAGGATAGTGTGAAGAGACTGAAACTGATAGGTATAGTTCACAGTGGAAAGATGAGCTAAATGTGTCCTGTGTATATTAGAGGAGAGAGAAATTGTTTCTATTCAGAAGAAAAACAGACTGTGGAGGAGGTTAGATTTCCTGCAGGCTGCTCATCTAATCCTTTCCAAAATGGCTAATCTTTTTTTTTTATTGTTTCTTTGTGGGGGCGTTTTAAAACAGCATCTTACTATGTCCTTCAGATTGGCCTTGAACTCACTATGTAGCCCAAGCTGCCCTCAAATTTCTGTATTTCTCTTGCCTCAGCCTCCCCAGTGCTGGGATTGTAGGCATGCACCACCACACGTGCCAAAATAGTCTTATTAATTAGAATTCTAAGACCTGGTAAATATAGGTACCTTCTTTTCCTAAGAAATTTGATTAATTTTTGAAGATACTGACTTCAACATAATTTAAATCCATCCAGAATCAGCAAAAGTAGGTGCGTAAGGATAAAATTTGAACTGGAAACTTCATTTTGTAGTGAGACATGGAGGTAAATGTCAGCAGGTAGCTTTGTCTTTGTTTTGTTTGACTTGATGATTTTTTGACTGTTTAAAGGCTACTTCATCTTCTGTCCGAATGACAAGATCGAAGGCCAAGGACCAAGTGGAACCAAGGAAGGTAGAGTTGCTAGTGTTACTAAAATAGCTAATAGATTTCTGTTTCCTTAGTGGCAGGAAACTTATTTTTAATCAAGTGTCATATTCAAACATGGTGATTGATTCCCAGAACTGGCAAGTAGTGTTGGGGCCGTGATGGATTTGGGCCACAAGCTCAGGCTGCGTCCAAATGAAGCATCCTTGCCCATACATCCCCCAGGATGTCTGTCCACTTTGTCTCTGTGTCCTGCCATTTGCCAAGCTTCTGTGGCTGCTACAGGTTGCCAGCCGGAAAGGCAAGAGTGAAAAGCCAGTTGGGGGGGAGTTAGAGACATCCAGGGTCTTCTGAATCTCACCAGAGGCGCAACTCCAGGAGGTCACTAAGATTAGTGCAGGGGAAGCAGTGGCGCTGTGCTCACCAGGTGAGGAAGATAGGTCTCCCCGAGTATTCAGCAGACCTCAAGTGACTGCCATGTTCCTGGCATTCTGTAGGCTCTGGATCTCAGGAAGGAAAAACAACAAACAATAGAAGTATACAAAGAAACAAAACCCCCCAATTCCCCAGCTTGGTGGCAGTTTTATGTAAATGCATAGCAGCCAGGTACTTTCAAGTGCAATGAGGGAGAGGACAAAGGAGGGAGTGTTGGGGGGTGGAGTGGAGGAGTTGGGGCAGCTGAGCAGGGTCTCCCTGAGGCTGTGGCACTGAGTGATGACTGTGGAGGGAATGAGTGATGGGGAGAGCTCCCTGCAGGAGGGGTCTCTTCTCTGGCCTTTTAGAAGTCCGAAGCCAAGGGGCCTGGCCTAGGAAGGGAGTGGCTGGCTGGGTGCTCTCCAGCTCTGCTCATTGCATTTGTCAGCTCTAGGCTTCTATAGGAGGATCTGAGGGGAATTGTATAACAGAACCCTCTTCTTCATTTTCTTCCAGTTAGTGCATTTTTTGTTGTTGGATTCCTTATAATTGCCAGGACTCGGGTGCAGTCTCACGTTCCAGATTAGATTGGGGCTCCTTGATCCATGAGCGATTACATCACTTGGTTCATCCTCCTCTCTTAAACAGATTCCTGCCTCTGGGGATGTCCGAGCCGTTGGACCTGGAGGAAGGCTGACTGCTAACAGGAGAGTGATGGACAAAGAGAATAAAGGTGGGGCTGCTCGAGTCGCGGGTGGGACCCTGGCGCTGCCACCTTGCTGCCCACTAATGACGGAGAACGTTTGCTGCTTCTCCCACAGCTGTGCCCCCCGTGGCGCCCGTGCCCACCAGGATGACGCGATCGGCGACTCAGGCCGCCAGGCAGGTCTCCAGGCCTGCCCCCGTGGCCAATGTCAGAAAGACAGTCACCAGGGCTACTCAAGGTGAGGACTCTTCTTTTTGGTGCTGAGGACTGAACTCGGGGCCTTCGCACTCAGTCACACCCTTGCCTTTTTTATTTGGAGACGGAGGCTCCATAGGTCTGTACATTGCCCGGGCCGGGCTTGACTTTATCATCCTCCTGCCTCAGCCCCCCGGAGTGCCGGTCACAGAGTGTACCCGCATGTCCAGCAGGAAGTGCTCGCTGAACGGTGGCTAAGCTAGGATGCTTTGGCCCTTCAGGTTTTTATGTTTAAGATCAGCCGGTGCTTCTCCTGAAGGGATGGGTGCCAGGGTGCTGACCCCAATCAGCATAGGCAATGCTGCAGAGTGGAAAATGAGCAGCCCCCCAATCTTACTCCATCTGTTGAAGTTCTCGCTGGTCAGGGCGTGGTGGTGCACACCTGTATTCTCAGCACTTAGGAGGCTGAGGCAGGAGGATTGCTGTGAGTTTGGGGCCAGCCTGGGCTACATAGTAAGACTCCTTCAAAATCTAGTCCATCCATCTGATGTGGCCTCTAGGAACAGTGTCCTCAAAGAACACTTAATGACCTCGGTGGTGATATATTAAGTAGGCAAAGAAAAACAGGCAGCTGAGCAGTAGCGTCGCAGCTCTGCAGGGCTGTGACATCGCAGGCGTAGAAAAAGGTGGAAAAGCATATTCTGAAGTGCCAACTCAGGAATGGAATTGAGGGGGGGGGAGGGGAACGTTAGGAAAGGGAGGGGAGAAGAGAGGGGCTGGGCACGTGCTTCCCCACTGAACCTCCCCCTACCCATTTAGATTTTTTCAGTTTTAAGACAGGGTATCACTAAGTTGCCCAGGCTGGCCTTTATTTTAACTTGCAGCCTTCCTGAGTAGCTGGGGTTATAGGCTATGTTTTTCTAAGTATTTAATAAACATATGTTTGGTATTCAGAGGAAAAAGTAAGACACTTTTGTGTTGTTTTGAAAATGGGTGGCCTGGCTATGCTTGTCAGGAAATTTTACTATTTTTTGTCATAAAAGCTTGGCACTGGGAATTGAACTCAGGGCCTTGCACTTGCCAGGCAGGCGCTTGTGCTGCTGAGCTACATCACCGGCCCTGTTATAAAACTTTTGATCATAAAAATCCTTCAAGACATACACTCCTATTATTGCTTTTTTTTTTTTTTCCAAATTACCTAGCACTTTTCATTTTGTATATAGTCGAAATAGGTATCTTATTTTTATTTTTATTTTAGATAATGAACCAGAAGGAAAGGCGCTTAACAAAGGAAGGCCTGCCACGAAGATGGAAGCAAGAGCCGACAAGGTAGAGCGCTAGCCGGGCTTCTCCCCGGAGGCTTTGGAAGCCTCACTGGTGCTTGCGTAAAGTTGGACTTGAAGTGAACCTGCCCGAGTGGTGAAACCCCTCGAACCCGAAGGCAGCGGGAGAGGATTCCCTGCTGTTGTTTTCCCAGATTTCCTAAGTCTTTCAGGTAGAGAAAGCATAATTTGGTTAAAAAAGAAGATGGAGGAGAATAATAAAAACAACCAGGAGAAGCCACTATGAAAACTGGGTCCGAGAGGCTGGAGCAGGGTGATGGGCATTGATCGCGGGCTCCCGCAGTCTTGTGCTGAGTGTGGTTTCTGCTTGGGATTCGCTGCAGAACTGAGCACAGTGTGTCCCGGGCTTTTCCTCTGTCTCTAGTAGATGGTTCCTGCAAAGAGTCATCGTAAGAATTAAATAAGCCCCAGTTCTGAGCGTAGCTAGCGGAGGGTCTGGTAAAGCCCTAAGCAGGGAGCACTGTGTTGAGGGCCTAGTATCTAGGGTTCTGTCTATGCTATGGATCCTTCAACTTGCAAGCGTCTAGCTAAAGAGCAAGAAAGCCTGCCAAGCTTCTAGTAAGAGTCACGTGCCAATCCCGCCTTGGACCCTACAGATCAGCTGGAGGTCCTCAAAGGGACCCAGCTCCTCAAGACCACCATAGCTTTGCTGGCCTTAGAGGTTGTGTTTTCAGCTAACCTCTGGTTCAAGTGGAAAGATCTTAAGAGTACAGATCTTATTAAAAGTCGGAAACCTGTGAGGCATGGTGGCCCACACCTGTAATCCCAGTACTCAGGAGGCTGAGGCAGGAGGATTTCTATGAGTTCCAGGTCAGCCTAAGCTATATAGTGAAATCCTGTCTCAAAAAGACCAATAAATAAAGTCAGAAACCTAAAAAAAAAAAAAAATTTGAAAGATCTAGCAACTTAGATAACCTCTGAAATATGTTTAAATCCCAAATACTATATTTGGTTTTGAGATAGGGTCTCATTATCTAGTCCAGGCTGGCCTCAAACTCAGCGGTTCTATTGCCTCAGCCTCTCAAGTGTCTGGATTACGAACCTGCACCGCCCACCCAGCTGGGGTGGTGCAGTGCTGGGGATGGAACCTAGGGCCTCCTGCGGGCTAGGTGCGTGCCCCGCCCCTGAGCAACTCCCCAGCCCCTCTCACACTTCAAAGCCTGTAGGAGTTGCCTGACTGCGCCCTTAGAAATCCTGACTCTTCCATCTGCTGATCTCTAGGTGGTGTCTTTTGAAGTCCAGAGTGAAGGAAATACTTTGCAAACCAACACGACCCGTGGAACCGAGCCAGATGGAGTCTTACCTGAACTGGAAAGCTTAGCTAAGACAAATCCCACAAGAACAAGAGGCAAGAGTTCCTTTGCCCCTAAAGACTTCGTGTTCCAGCCTCTGGAGGGGGTGAAGACCTACCAGGTGATGCCCATGACGCCCAGGAGCGCTGAGGCTTTCCTGACGCCCGGCCTCGCCTGGGGCCCGCTCCAGCCAGAGGGGTGAGCGCCCAGCCCTGCAAACGGCCCCACACAGACACTGAGAGCTGCAGAGATGTGGAAAATCTTAGTGATGAGGTCTTCGTTAGGAGGGGTAACAGGTGCCGTTCTTAGGTTTGTTGTGCGCTTTTAGTTAGTGACATATGTTGATTAAACATGGTTAGAATTTGTCCTTCTGAGGAAAGCCCTCCACAAGGCTCTAGTGCCTTTTGTCGGTTTTCATATTTGCTGTCATTGCTATTATTCTCACTATGCAATAGAAGGCTTTTGGCTTTTTAGTTTTTTCTACTGAGCTATCTTCCCAGCCCCAGCTTTTTGCTTTTAATAAGTGATTTAATGATAACACTTAGAAAAGAAAATCACATAAAAGTGTAGCTCAGATTGGGTATTTTGGGCTGAAAGTTCTTTTAGAAAACCTACCTCTAACAGGAAAAGTATATTTAAACGTGCCCCGTGTTGGAGGCCGGGTGGAATCTGAAAGACAAGGCAAGATTATTTTGCTAGATTGGCGGGCAGCAAGTACAGCAGACCCTCGGCCTGGGGACTCGACGCGTCCCTGAGGGCTGGCTGCGACGCAGGCTGTCACGGAAGGCTCAGGCTCCCGTGCACAGCCTTCAGAGTCTCTCCTACACACAGGCAGTGCTCGGGGTCCCAGGGTTTCTCAGTGAACCCCACACGGGAAAGGCGTGGTAATGTTCCGGAGCTCTTTAAGGCTCCACCTGCGTCTGAGACCATCGGGAAGCACGGAGCAGCCTGAATTCGGGTCGTTACTCAAGACTGGTCATAAATCAGAACTAAAATTTAGTCAGAACCCAAGCTGTCCGGATGTCAGGCTGGTCACAACTCGCGGGCCCACTGGAGATGCAGTCTCCAAGCCATCTGGGTTGTGTTTCGCTGTGACAGCGTCAGAATCTTGGGCTCTCTTACAGTTTATTAATAAAGATGGGCATTCTGGTCACAGCTTTCACATTTCCCCACTAGAATAGGCTTTAAAAAAAAATAGAAACGTCTTTTTTTCTCAGACTTTTAAAAAGCAACACAGTTTTGAAGCCCTGCAATACATGGACTTCATGTTTCATGAAATAATATTTTTGTCATTTCTTTAGTGATAAGATGCAAGAAACAGGAAAAGAAATCTCGACCCCAAAATGTAAAGCTTTTACCAACACTGTGCAGCAAGACTCAAGTAAATTGCTCCGTTCCCTGGATTTGGTAACAGTTCTCAAGGAAGGTACAGTACTTTAGTCAGGTTTTGTCCCTGGATTACAACTTAGCAGTGACTTGTTCAGAGCTCATTTTCACCATTCCCTTAGGCATACTCACCAGACTTGCTCAGCACAGCCAGTCTCTCTCTAGCTCTTCTCTTTTACTTTCTCAAATAAAATTTGTCCCTGTCCAAAAAAAAATTTAACATTGAGAATATTAAAGATTTTTTTTTTAATGTCTTTTGGTGAAGGATGCCATTTTAGGAATTGTTATTTTGAAATTTATATGTAATGTTTTATTTAATTTGTAGAATATAGCCTAAATCAAAACGAGGTTGCTACTGAAGATTCTGAGGGCCTGTCCGTAAACAAGGCCTGCAAAGGTCAGATCCCTGAGCCACAGCATGATGTGCTATATTTCAGGTTTGTCTGTTCCCAGTACCAGAATTTTTATTAGTGTCTAGACATTTCAAGCCCATGTTAAAATATTTAATTGTAGCTGAATACGTTGGCACACACTTCTAATCCCAGCTGCTGAGGAGGCTGAGGCAGGAGGATTGCCAGTTTGTGGCGAGGCTGGGTGGGTTCCAAAACACAACAGAGGGGCTGTTCTTGTAGCACACTGCTAGAGCCTTTGCTTAGCATGCACCAGGTCCTGGGTTCAATTCCCAGAACCACAAAATAAAAGTAATAATAATATTTTCTGTAATAATATTTTAACATCAAGTTAATGGAAAACTGGGTGGATTTCACTTTTAGGTTTTAGTTATTATTCCAATAGCAGTACATTCGTGAGGTTTTACTTAGAATGTAAGACAATATATAGGTTAAAAATTGCCCAGTATTGAGCCAGGGACATAGCTCAGCAGCTTAAGCACCCACCCAGAAAGCCCATAATCCTTGGTATCAAAAACTGCCCAGTGCAGGCCCTTCCACGTCACTGATGGAGGAGTCCCCATGCTCTCATGATGTGGCCCAAAGCTGTCCTATAGAAGCGGCTAACCCTGCCTTAGGCTCAGCTTTCTCTGCCATTGCTGACATTTTAGATCATGTGCTCTGGGGATTTCATCCTGAACACTGCAGGACATCTTTGGCATCGGGAGCCAGGCCCTCCTTGTGTCGTGTATCGTCCTGTCATTGTGCTGTATTGCTGGTTCTTGTCAAACTGAAATGCATGTCATAATTTTAGAAATATCCTCCAGTCAGAAACTGAGAAATTGACTTCGCACTGCCTAGCCTGGGACCGGAAGCTTGAGTTGGACATTTCCGATGATGGTGAGGGGATTTTTTGTCCGGGGTGTCTGGGCTTTGTTTCTTTCATTATGGGTACATTCATCCAAAATGTGACAACCTAGTGCTGTCCCAACTTTATTGCTTTGTTACTTAAAATAGCAAGAACTTTTTCATTTCTCATAGTTTTATTCCCCACTATCACTGTTGTAAAGAGAGGTAAGACTTTTATTATTAGATTTATTTACATGCCTTCATGGGTGACCTCAATTTCTGGTAGTATTCAATGGTACAAAAATATTTTTTGAATAAACAAAAATTACTAGCTAAAGCATTACCGAAACATTCCTTCATCTTACTTGGCAAAGCTGCTTAGAAACCAGTGTGTGCACCTAGCTGTCAGCATGGAGCTCCGCGTAGGTGCTGTGCAGCGTGGTGTCAGAGGCCGAGTTCTTACGGAACACAAGCCAGCGAGTGCTGCTCATTACATCATGTGTGTGTGAGAGCCAGCGTCACTAGGCCTTGGGGCTAAGTTAAGGGCTAGCATTTGTATGACAAAGTTTTGCAGTAGTGTTTTTGTTTTGCTTTAAAGATTTCATGCTGTAAGTCCTCGGGTATCTGGGATGTATTCTTTTTGTTGGCTGGCTCCCCACCATAAAGGCCGTTTCATCCTCTGAAGCCCTCTTGCCTCTTTCAGCTAAAGAGCTCATCCGCACGGCGGTTGGCCAAACTCGCCTCCTCATGAAGGAAAGGTTCAGACAGTTTGAAGGACTGGTGGACGACTGCGAATACAAACGGGGCGAGAAGGAGACCACCTGCACTGACCTGGACGGGTTTTGGGATATGGTTAGCTTTCAGGTAGGTGGCCAGGGGTTTTGACTACTAACCAGATTGCCTTTTTTTAATGGAACACGGTAGTCACTTGGGTTCCTAGGATAGTAAGCGAGCTCTTAAAAATGTATAGAAGCAGCACAATCAAAATGTATCACTGATGTTTTCCCTGTGTTGTCAGGTTACTGTCTGTACAGTTACAATTGGAATTATGTTCAGTTCTCAAATAGTCCATATAGCGATCCTTTTTTTTTTTTTTTTTTTTTTTTGAGAGAGAGGGTCTTGCTTTGTAGCTCAGCCTGTCCTTGAACTTACTTTGTAACCCCCGCTGGTCTCAATCCTCCTGCCTCAGCCTCCCTGACCTGGATGACAGGCATGCACCACCACACCTGGATAGTTCACAACACTTGTATCCGTGAGAAAGGAGCCAATCTCGAGTTGAATTAGCAGTTGTTGAGTACCTATTGTGTGCCAGACTTTGGATCGGGAGTTGGTAAAAGGCACATTCTCTGTCCCAGAGGGGCTTTAATACAGTGAGGAACTTAAAGACAACATTGATCTCATCTAAAGTAGAAAGCTCTGTAACAGAAAATTATTAGAGTTGATAAGGGCATGGGAGGTAAGTAATGCTTTCTGACTTACTGAGCTTATTTTAGAAATGTGTATATAAAATTCCATTTTCAGAACTAATAGCCAACAACAGGTATTGGAAGGAAAGTGTTTTCTTTCTCTCTTGGGTGATGCTAAGATTGAACCCAGGGCTTCGGGCATTTAAGCACGGACTCCACCTCTGAGCACTTGCTGGTCGCCAGAGCGAGCTTTAGACCTGAAAGACCGAGGCCGCAGCAGAGCTTTAGGGAGACAGCTATTAGAACATTGGACAGCCTCTTGAAGGAAACCTCCCAGGAAGTGGAGCCTCGTGATGTGTAACCTAGAGAACAGGTAAGCAGTAGGGCCTGCCAGATAGCTCAGTGGACTAAAGTGCCTGCTTAGGCAGGCTCAGTGACTGGGGTTTGATCCCCTGCATGCTGTGCGTGCCCTGCCCCCAGATGTTGTGGCACATGCCTGTAATCCCAGCGCTTAGGAGGCTGAAAACAGAAGCATCACTACAAATCTAATCTGTGCAGTGAGACCCTGTACTTGAAAAAAGAATAGGTAAGCGAGTTCAGGGCCAGGTCCCGATGGCTGGGATTCCAGAGCAGAAGAATATGGAGATATGGCAGGCCCCAAATGGTCAGTGACAGAGTGGAAGATTTTTCCTCCAGGAGGAAAGAGCCTAGATTCTAGGCTGAGGGGCCCACTGAGTGCCCGCCAAGACAGGCCACAGGGACCCAAGCCATTGCAAATCATGGGGTGTGGAGACCGGGGTGCTTCCGGAGAGGAACAGCCGCATGGAGCACCCGAAATCAGTGTAGTCTTGGCTCACTCACTGCTGATCCGTCTTTTGAGACAGGCTCTCACTGTGTGGCTCAGGTTGGCTTCATGTTCAGCTTGGTCCTCCTGCCCCAGCCCCCCAGGTGTGCCACCGGCCAACTCCCTGGCGATGTTAAAACCTGAATAATAAATAGCTGGCAGAATTTGCGGGAGAGTCATTTCTAGCCTTCCTCAGTTGAGCGTAAGGCTGAGAAGGCATTTTTCAGACCACAGTGTGCCTCCTCTCCTGCCTCCCTTCTCAGGCAACTGGGACTGCACCTCACAGATAAGAGGGTGGGCTAGGGGTCGCGGAGGGTGAGATGCAGCCCGGAGGGCGCTGAGGGAGCAGCCAGCAGCAAGTGTATGACGAATTTCAGATAATCTACGGCTTGGTGGTGCACGCCTGTCATGCCAGCTCGTGGGAGTCTGGGGCAGGAGGGTAGTCGTGTGTTCAGGACCAGCCTGCAACACAGCGAAACCTAAGCTACTGTGATAAGGCTGAGAAGCTGCAGCTCCGATGCGGGATCAAGGGACTCAGGGCTCTGGGAAGATGAATGAGTGAATGAGTGAATGGAAAGGAATACCTGATTGGCTATTTGTCATTGTGCCAAGAAGAAATTCTGGGTTTGTAGAATGATTTTAATTATTAGACGTGTAAATGTTTTTAACTTTGGTGAAATTTGGTTTGTGGGATTTTTTTCTTCTTTTATGTTGTACTTTGGACACGTTTAAGGATTCTTACCTAAACACAAGGATTTTTTTTTTTTTTTTTTTTTTTGAGACAGGGTCTCTATAGTTCACCCAGGCCTTCAGTTTCCTGTGTAGCCCAGGCTGGCCTCAAACACTCTTGATCCACCTGCCTCAGCCTCCCAACAAAGGTTTTCTTCTTTGCTTTTTTCTTATGGTTTTAGCTGTTCCAACTAGGTCTAGTCTGGTTTGTCAGCTTCTGCATATGAGATTGAGAGAGCCGGACTCATCCTCCCACGAGTGCGCGTGTCCACTCGGCCAGCCCGGTGTGGAGGGATGTCCTTTCCTCTGTAGACCAGCTTGGCGACGTTGTTGAAAATCACCTGCCGATAACTGCTGAGCCCCAAGTCATTCTGACCTTACCATGTTTTGAGACAGGAAGTTTGAGGGCTGCGAGAACGCAGGGGCGGAGGGGCCGTGGAGTCGAGCAGGCTGTGGGCAGTGGTCCCCTTCCGAAGGGGCCCAGCAGCACCTGGGTGGAGTCCTGCTTCCTGCCCTACTAGGGAGCCTCGCGCCTGAATCTTTTAAATGAGAAGCCACAGCCTGGGGGAAAAACGTTTGGAAAAGACATCTCTGATGGAAGACTTACCCAAAACACAAGAATGTTCAACTCAAAGGCAGGAAGCCGTCAGCGGGGCTGGGAGTGCAGCTCCCCACCCACCCACCCACCCACCCACCCAGACTGCCGGCTTGGTGCACAGGGGCCCTGGATTCTACTCTCATGGCTGCAAAGCAAGAAGACAAATGAGCAAGCAAATGACAAACTGAGCAGAAGGCCAAGCAGATGCCTTCCCGAAGAGAGAAGCAGATGGCGAGGGCATAGGACGTGAGGCGGCGCCTGCGTCCTGGGAGTCGCTGGGAGCGCTGAGGCCCTGGCGCACCCTACATGCCTGCTAGAGCGGTGTGGCCTGCACCGCGGCTGGCCAAGGGACCCCAGAGTGTGGGCGCCAGGAAGGCTCCGCTCGGTGTTGCTGCCGAGATCGCAGAGTGCTCATGTGTTTTAGAAGCCAGCTTGGCAGCGCTCTGCGCAGCTAAACGCCCCTGTCATGCGGCCCAACAGTTACCGTCTGCGCATTTACCCAGTGAGCAGAAACCTGTGTCTACGCCAGACTTCGCATGGATTATTCATGATTTCCAAAACATGAAAGTCACCGAGATATCCTTCAGCAGGGAACTGGATAAATAACTTAAGAGGATGATCTCCATCCGTATCGTCTGACTTGAGAAGCAAAATATTTAGGATGTCTCTCTTTCCAAGCGCCTGCAAGCAGGCACAGGGGCCAGGGGTTTGATCCCTGGGCCTGCTGTGCTGGGCCTGCCCCCCCGGATGCGCTAAAACAGCAATTGAGACTGGGTGTGGTCGCTCATCCCTGTAATCCCTGCTCTTGGGAGGCTGTAACAGCATTATTGAGTCTGATATAGTAGTGAGGCTTTGAACACCCTGTAGACCCTTCCTTTAAAAAAAGTCTCCTTTGGTTGTATAGGTCGGAAATAATCTTGGAGTCTTTATGTAGAGTTTGGAGGGTTGTAAGTCCAAAAATAAGGACAATTTTATGATTAAGATTAATTTTAGGGGCTGGAGAGATGGCTCAGTGGTCTAAAGCACCTACTTGGAATAAGCTTGGCAAGGCATCAGGGACCGCGGTTCAATCCCCCAGCACCACATGCCAGCCAGCCCCGCCCCCTGGCGGGCTGAGCTGGCCACACACACACACACACACACCACACACACACACTCTCTCTCTCTCTCTCTCTCAAATAAATAAATAAAAAAATTAAGATTAATTTTAACTTCAACTCACCACTTATGAGTTGCCATTCTCCATTCTTTGGAGCTTCAGTTCATTAGTTTATAACTAATATGCTGGCATTAACCTGATAAACTTGGGCTTTATCAACAGATAGAAGATGTAAATAAAAAATTCATCAATCTGATGAAACTTGAAGAATCTGGATGGCAAAACAATAACACAAGCAAGAAAGTCCTACGGGTAAGTTGTGTGTTCTATGTCCAGGTTTCTAATACAGACTCCTGATTGTGTTTTTGTTTGTAAATTTTAAAACCTTTCAGCTTCTGGGTTTTCATTTCATAAAGAAGGTTTTCATGTATTACTTCAATGTTCTGCTTACTTTGGAAAAGACGCAAGGAAATGGCCAACATGAAATGTAAGATGCTCATTGCTGAGGAGGAAGTAAGGGCCACCATTGAACTGGGGCACCCTTGGTGTCCCCAGAGAGCGGTTCTGTCAGCATTGGTGTCGGTTTTATCCTCTAAACTGTGCTTGTAGACGTGGTGGTGGTAATACTGCTAGTGGGCAAGTTGACAATGTGATGTTGAGCCCAACGGCTGCGCACACAGTAGCTCCTTACGTGCAACAGCAGCGCTGTGGGAGGCGCTGAAGTCCAAGACCTACACCCTCGGGTCACTTGCCAGAGTTGGAGTGGGCCTTGGACCAGCCTTTCCCGTTCCAGAGTCCATGTTCTTGACTCATAGACTGCCTTATGTACCTTTTTGTGTGATGGGTTTTATTTTCTGTGGTTTGGTTTTGTTTTGCTGCTTGTTTGAGACAGGGTCTCACTATATAGTTCAGGCTGCCAGCGCTTGGGAGACTGAAAACAGGAGGATGGCTAGTAGACCCCGTACTAAA